AAAATATCGAGTTAAAATGGTCGATATATCGGATATCGATATTTTCCTGACTTCGATATAAATATCGATATTTCAAAAGACTTTGCATCCCTACTGGGGATGATTTTCTTTAACATCTACCTTGAGTTTTCGAAAACTTGTTTTGGATATGTCTGTCATGTCTGGATTGATAAATCGAAAACTTTAAAGTGCTAGTTTTTCTTCGAGTACCCCCCCCCCCCCCCAATCTAAACTATTGGCTTGAAAGAACTGGAAAAAAATCATGATAATAAAATCAAAATCAATATCGTATATTCAGTCTAGGCTGTTACAAGCACTTGTGAATGTCGAAAAGCTACGCCATCGGTTCGCAAATCTACGGCGGGAGACCTTATAGTACTAGTACTTTTCATTAAATTTTAAGGAAAACTCAAAGAGTTAAGATAGATTTGTTAGTTTAAGAGTAATAGTCGTTCAACTTTAGTTAAAGAAAATTTCTTAGAAAAAAAAACATTAATAATAATAATAATAACGTGGCAACCCCAAAAAGAAAAACGTCTCAAGAAATGTCAATCCGATAAAAAATTAAATTTCACATCATAGATGAATGATTGGTCTGTGAAGCGAGACCAATCATTTATCTATGTTTCACATATTAAATGCGTCGTTATATACTTGATTATCAGATTTAAATTGTGCTTAAGTAATATTTAAAATGTTTATTATTTAAAATTTAAGAAAACGTGTATTTCAAGAAAATGAAAAAAAGTGCTGTCCTGTCCTGTCCTGTCAATATAACTCCGATGGCTATTTCACGAGACAAACAATGATTTTAAGACCACGACGAACAGGAAAAGCACGCCCTCCATCTCCGGACTCGTCGCTCAGCTCCGCCTTGCAGGCGCCCCCGCCGACTGAAGAAACCCCGTCGGTGGCTACGACAGCGTCGAGCTCAAGCAAGGAGTACTTTTCCCCGCCGACATCGCCAACACCTGTACGCCGGCTGGGGAGACCCCGGCCACCAGCTAGCTTAGGGTCCAGGAGCCACCCGGTTCCGAACCGGGCCCCCGCTGCCGGTGGTTGTGTGCCGCGCATGCGATGGACTCAGTCAATAAATGAGAACGTCATGCGCGCATACTATGGGTCTACAGACGGAGGAACTAATCTCACCGCGTACCGTGTAAGGCTGCATGTCCTGTTTCAGGAGCTGGAACCAGCCCTCAACGTTTCGGCCCAGCGACTGTCGGATCAGGTGCGGTTCATTCAACGTAGTCATAGGTTGGATGACACCGTGCTTGATAGGCTACGCTTAGAGATGCTGAGCAGCCGTGTCGGCCCTGTTCCGTCATTGACCGAGGTGGAAACACCAGCACGTGCGATCCTGCCGCGGTACGAGGATAGTAAGATAGATCATGGCTCATGAGGGTGCTGGAGTTGTACAAAGTGGATACAACTCTACGCACCTTCCTGATGTCGTGTATGGGGCAATGGAGGACGGTTCTTTGCTATCCAGGATGTCGGCCAATTCGGGAGAACGACGAACTAATAAGGATTGAGCGGGGAATATTCCAGGGTGATAGTCTGAGTCCATTATGGTTCTGCCCAGCCATGAATCCCCTAAGCACATTGCTGGAGGCTTCAAGGCTGGGTTTCTCTTTGCGAAGAGGAGGTCAGATAATATCTCACCTTCTTTACATGGATGACCTAAAATTGTTTGCCCCTACTAAATTGCAATTGATGGAGTTACTGAAAGTAACAGAAACTTTTAGTAAAGCTATCAACATGGAATTTGGTGTGGACAAATGTGCAGTTATGCATGTAAAGAGGTGAGAGATTGTCGAATCCGAAGGATTGCAATTCTATAAATATCAGATCCCTCTCCGCAGACGAGACCTACAAGTACTTGGGAATGTCCGAGGGGTTAGGCATCAATGGGGCTGACATGAAGCAATCGGTGCAGGAGCGCTTCTTTGGTCGCCTGAACAAAGTACTGAAAAGCGTTTTGTCAGGTGGCAATAAGGTGCGCGCCTTCAACGGTTGGGTCATGCTGGTCCTGATGTACTCCTTTGGCATACTGAAGTGGACTCAGACAGAATTGAACGCCCTGGACAGAAGAGTTCGCACACTGTTGACTGCAAACCGAATACATCACCCACGTTCATCGGTCATGAGGCTGTATATCCCACGGAAGTGTGGAGGTCGTGGCTTTTTAAATGCCAAGACTCTCCACAAACGTGAGGTGTGCAGCCTTAGGGAATACTTTTTAAAAGCTGACGTGGGTATGCATCGGGATGTGGTCGCAGTGGACTCGGGCTTGACCCCTCTATCCTTAGCTAAAGAGAACTGGCGCAAACCTGTAATAGTGACTACAGATGAACGCAGGGAGGTATGGCAGAGCAAAGAGCTTCATGGACGCTTTTTCCGGGCGCTACATAGATCCGAAGTAGATCTCAAAGCGTCCGTGGCCTGGCTTCGATTCGGCTCGATTCGGGATTCGATTCGGATGGGATTCGTTTGTGCAATTGCAGACGAAATTATAATGACGAACTATTACCGAAATTATATCCTGAAAGATGGGACTGTTGACATATGTCGGGCATGTCACTGTCCTGGTGAATCGATTAGGCATAGTCTTTCGGGTTGTTCTCGTCTAGCTAACGGTGAGTACTTGCACAGACACAACCAAGTGGCCAGGATTATCCATCAGCAACTTGCCCTGAAATACAACCTTGATGCTTCTGAGGTGCCATATTACAGGTATGTGCCCGACCCAGTTCTCGAAAGTGGTCATATCACGCTGTACTGGGACCGATCTATCATCACTGACAGGACTATTGTTGCTAATAAGCCTGACATAGTGATGATAGATCGCGAAAAGCTCCTCGCAATGATAGTTGATGTGACCATCCCTCATGACGAGAATCTCATGAAAGCCGAGAAAGATAAACAAATAAAATATCTTGACTTGGCTCATGAGGTTGTCGCCATGTGGGATGTTGACTCGGCTATCATTGTGCCGATAGTTGTGAGGGTCAATGGCCTGATAGCTAAGAGCTTCGACTGTCATCTGCGGAGGCTCGAGTTGGGTGACTGGGTCAAGGGCCTGATAGAAGGTAGTGCTCCTTGACACGGCTCGCATAGTGAGGAGGTTCCTCTCTCTGGGACCCTAACCACCGGTAGCTAGGACCCTGTTCCCGATGCCGGTTGGCTTCTATTTTTTATATTTTTAAATGTTTTTATTTTTATATAAATATTTAAAAATGTAATTAATATGGTATAAAATAAATAAAGTGAATAATAATAATATTCTTTATTGTTATACACCATAGAAAAACACACAAGTAAATTAAAACATGATAAATAGAACGTAGACGATATAGGCGGCCTAATAGTGACATAGATGAAGTTATTGTAGCGAAATACCTTGCATTGCAACAAAATCTAAAAAAACTATTTAAAAACCACAATAAAATATCATTAGTTGGCAGCGGCTTGCTTTGCTATTAAAAGATTATCCCCCTTACCATTATTGGTCTATGTAATATTAAACGTATAACGTAACAGTGATTTGTACACATTTATCACTCATGATTATTACACTCTTGATAACTTTTGAATAGTATAATACATACAATATAATAAGTAATTTACAGGTATTGATATAGTCTTGAATCATAACCTGCCTATTAGTGTTCCCACAGGTCCTCCCTATGGATGGAACAGTTTGTCCCCTTTACCATTGGTCCATGCCCTTATTATTAAACCTATCTAGTAACGCAGTGGTTTATACACATCCAACACATTTAGCACTCATGATAACTATATAAATCTTGGGAACGGTCTAATCCAAAAAGAAATTTCAAAAATTTTTTATGAAAATGTTGCAAAACTTGTGTAAAAATGTTCCATTTGTGAGCTTCCGTTGCGTGTGCTGTGTAAACGGTTTTATAAATAATAGTTTGGTTAAATAATCGAAGTTTTCTTTTTTGAAAATAGTCTATAGACTACCGCGGCCTTGTCGAATTCCCTCTAGTATTTCTTAGGCTGCAAGGCAGCGCCATCTCTTCGCATTGTAGGTAACCCACAATGTCAAATGAATACCTTTACAAGTATTAAACATTTGAAAGAAAAATACTTATATTTTTATTTTTTAAGCATTTAACTGCTAGATGTTTAAATCTTAAGAAAATATTACAAGAAAAAAATACACGCGGGGCAGGCAGCAGACGGGACTCGAACCCTCACCCTTCACTATCCGGGCGGATGCACTGACCATTATGCTACCGTGGTTCTAATGGTCGTGTCGAATTTCAACGTTTCATTTGTACATAATCATCATTTAACAGACATTTCATGATCAGATGGAAACATTGACAAAACCACAACACCACCAAAAGGTACCCAGTGTTATTTCACTGTGGTCTTCTGTACTGTAAGGAGTTGGTTACAGCCCCTGATGGGCGCAATTTGAGCGGGAGGCCTGTGATACCATACTTCTCTTAATATCAGTGAAGTGTGTCTAACACTTATGTATACCCCTAGACTTAATTAGACTAATAGCTACTTAAAATGTGAAATGTTGGGTTATGAGTAAATGATTATTATTATTATATTACGAGAAGTAGGGCTAATAAATTTTAAATAAATTTTTAATTGGTATTGGAATTACACGACACCCGAAAATACCATTTAATTAAGAAATGGAACCAGGCTGGAATCAAACAAGCAGCTTCTCTTATCCGGGTGGATCCACTGACCAATTATGTTTCCAGGACGAGACTAACAGACACACGACATGATTAAGTAGTCTCAATATATTGTTACTTTACAGCAAAGCGTCCTAACTGTGTCAACTGCCCCCAGTCTCCTCTACTTAACAATCATGTCAGCACAGTTGGAGCATCGTGTTATGGCTTTGCCCATTAAATGGGTTTCGGTGTTTCTCTGCAAGTGACCCGGAGATCACTCTTGACTGGAACACTATAAAATGCTTGGCTAATCTAACAATTTATCATTTTATACTGAAGCAGCGGTTGGAATAGCTAAACTAAAAAAAAAGTTAAAATGAAGAGTTGCAAAATTTTGTTCTGTATTTTGATATTAAGCATGTGCCATATACAAGATAAGTTTGCGGAGGCGCAAGATATTCAAATTATGTCTTCGGGTACAGTACTTTGTTGCTTAACTATAATATCTATTTCTAAAAGTTTTCTTCTCTGTCTCTCTTAATCACAGTAATTAAAAAAAAAAGCGTCCCAGTGTGGCTGATTGATTTCCAGCCATTGTAAAAATATTTTTTCATCCCACCACCTCGGAAAGTGTAATTTTGCGCTTCGAAATCTGGCTGGAAAATTCTATTTTATTCGCTTGAGCGGCAAAGTAGATTTGAATTTAGAACATCACATATAATGAGTACTCAATATAATTGTAAATTCAAAACGTCATTAAACCTATTTAATGTAACCTCTATGGTGCCAAATTTATGATTAGAACTTTTTAAATTGTGAAAAAATTTAAATTTGGATCCTTCTTGGTTTCTTTGTTTTATTTGCGTGCTTCGCGCCATTCTAGTTTTTCACGTTTTATTGCTTAATATAATTAACATAACCTAAAAACTGTACAAAAAAATCAACTAAAATGAGTGACATTAGCGACGATGAAGTTTATCTAACGCCAACTGAGTTAACTGAAACAGTTAATAATGCGCAAATGAGCCTTCTCCCTCAGCAATCACGAGAGAAGTATTTGAAACAGTACGATATATTTAACATGTGGCGACTAGCTAAAGGAGCAAAAACTTTCTCCGAAAACGTTTTGCTGGCATATTTTATAGAATTATCTGAGACCAAGAAAGCAAGCACGCTATGGAGTACGTATTCAATGCTAAAATTAACAATTAAGATGAAGAAAGACGTTCATATCGACACCTATCATAAATTAGTGGCATTTTTAAAAAGAGCCTCATCTGGTTATAAACCAAAAAAATCGAAGGTTTTCACAGCATCTGAAATTGCAAAGTTTATTAATGAAGCACCTGATTCCGTATATTTAGCGGCAAAAGTAAGTCAATACGTGTAATTTTTTGTTGTTGATAAAATTGTACATAGTACTTACAATATTTTTAATTTGATTAATTTATTTACGATTATAAATACTTCTTTTGTTACAGGTTGTTCTTATTATTGGTATAACCGGAGCATGTCGAACAAATGAACTTACACTACTTAATGTCAATAACGTATCAAAACATTCTCATAATTCTGATGAATTGCTATTAATTAATGTACTAAATACCAAGACAAAAAAAGACCGCAACTTCGTTATTCGCAAGGAATATGTAAACATTGTTCAGAAATATCAAGCTTTACGTCCTTCTAACACCCCAATTGAACGATTTTTTCTACAATATCGCAACGGAAAGTGTATCCGACAACCTATGGGTCAGAATAAAATTGGCAGTATTCCACGAGAAATAGCAACTTTTCTCGGACTTTTAGAACCCCCGTTATACACCGGTCACTGTTTTAGAAGAACCTCAGCCACACTTTTGGCCGAATCAGGGGCTGATCTTCTATCGCTTAAGCGCCATGGAGGCTGGAAGTCTAATTCGGTTGTAGAGGGATACATAGAGGATTGAATCCAAAGTAAATCAAAAATTTGTAATAGTATCGTGGAGGCCATAACGCTGAAAGAACCTCTGTCAGATTCTTGGTCTCGCCCTTCTACATCTAAAATGAGCCCCCATAAGATTGGAAACAATAGCCCTCTCTCGCCAACATTTACGCCAATAGGATCCAATGAATCGGCACAACTATTTAAAATTACTGATACGAGTAGTTTACCACAAAACAGCGCACAATTCACAAACACCAACATAACATTACCTAACAAAAATATTAAACTTAACATAAGTAACTGTAGCAACGTTACATTTAATATTTCTTAATTATTTTCTACTTCTTATTATTTTCTTCAATTTATAGATTATCTTAATGTGTTTTAATTGAAATAAAAATATTTTGTCATTATAAATTGTTTTCTTTTTCATTTTGTCATTTCCTCGCTGAGGTGGGATGAAAAGTTACGTATTGCACTCGAGTGGAAAGATTTTTCACCTTGTGCTCGTTTGTTTCCCTCGCTGACGCTCAGGATTCTAATTTAGAATCACTCGCTGCGCTCGTGATTCAACTTTAGAATCCTTCGCTTGCTCGGTCATCCAAATCGAGCACGCGGTTAAAAAGGAACTTTCCACTCTTGTATAATAAATAACTATTACACTCACCAATTAGCCATAGCCTAGCCTAGCCTCAAAGTAAACAAATTATTTCACATAATTTATATAAAACTGTCATCACTCAGATGATGATGTACTTACTAGGTTTCACCCTTGCCTTAACTGCTGTTATAGATTAAATAATTTTATTTTAACTTTTGAACGAGAAAAACGTACCTAATTCTTCTTGACGGCATGTGCTTCTAAGGGAAGATCCATATTTTACTTATTTTCTGTTTTAATCTGATATTGTTCCAACAGGTCAAGAATGCCAAATGACTCCGGTTATTCACGTACTTCGTCATCCCGGGTGTAAGCCAAAAGCAATACCGTCTTTCGCTTGTATCGGCAAATGTTCAAGCTATGTACAGGTAAGTACCTAAGTATGAATGCGGACTAGATAAATAAATATTCTTGTTTCCAACATAGCCTTGGAACACTCGAGCGAGTACCTATTATATTTTTACTTACTACTAGCGGCTCCCGACTTCATCCCCGTTAAATTTAGATTTTTGATAATCCCACAGGAACATATGTGTTAATCCAGGGCATAAAATATATGCGTGCCAAATTTCATCCAAATCCGTTCAGTAGTTTTTGCGTGATGAGTAAGAAACACACAGAAACAAACAAACTTTCACGTTTATAATATTATAATAGTAAAGGAAGAAGGGTCCACATGGCTATCTTAATTTAATTGAGGTGAGGGATTGATGGGCAGATTGGTAAAAGCCTTTTATTTGCAATTTGGAAATCATATTTCCAAGAGGGTAGAAACTGGGTGGGTTTATTATATTGTTTCTCGTTTATCTTCGGCTTTTCGAAAAGTAGAGTTAAGTTGTTGCTCCCTCGATACATTAGTTGAATGACTAGACTAATTATTAAGTGAATATTGGAGTTCACTTGGCTCGACAGTAAAACAATTTTATGGTAGGCATATACTGGCCCACAACCAGCAGTTCATACAAACATTAGTACAATGAAGTCAGACTTTAGTCTACGCAATGTGTTTTTTTTTATTAAACAGGTATCTGGAAGCAAAATTTGGCAAATGGAAAGAACTTGCAACTGCTGTCAAGAATCTGGAGAGAGAGAAGCGACGGTAGTCCTCTTTTGCCCCAAAGCCAAATCTGAAGAGAAGAGATTCATGAAGGTAATGTTAGAAATATAAAAAAAAAAATATTAAGCCCCTACAGTATGCAAATAAAACCACACAATTTACCTTTTAATATTAATTATAATTAAAAGATAAATTATGTGGTTTTATGAAATCACGATCCAAGTGAAACTTTTAAAATCATCATTAAAAAAGTTCTTTCTCGCGTGGGAATCGAAACCGGCCCGCCGGGTCGCAGGTGAGCTTTCTACCACTGAACTATCGATACAAAACAATTAAAAATGTAATGCGCCATGTGCGACATGCTCAAGATGAAGAAAAAAATAATTGTGGCGATTTAAAAAAAATCCACCTTAGGAATAATAAAGTGAAAGTTATTAAAATAAAAAACTAGCAAGCTTTGCAGTAGTTGCGTATGATGTGTAACATTTGAAACCTCACCTTATATTAGAAAAAAACGAAATAAAACCTAAAAGGAATAAGCCACGAATAAGCCATTTAATCATTAAGTTCTAAAATCAAATGAAATAGCGCGCGCTTTCGCGACCTCCTGAGACACACTTCCGTCCCATTTCACGAAATCACCCCCACGAAGAGCAGGAAAGCGAGAGGAAAGATGTTACACATCAAAAACGAGCGAGCCTTACAGTAGTCGCGTATGATGTGTAACATTGGAAACCTTACCTTATATTAGTAAAAGGAAATAAAATCGACTACAAAAAGAATAAGCCATTTGAACATTATGTTCCGAAATCAAACCAAATAGCGCGCGCATTCGCTACTTCCTGTTACACACTTCGTCCCATTTCACGAAATCACTCCCACAAATTGCAGGAAAGCGAGAGGAAAGATGTTACACATCAAAAATAATTTGTCTTTCAATGCAGGTATCAACAAAAGCACCTTTGGAATGCATGTGCCGACCTTGTGGCAGTATAGACGAGAGTTCGATTGTACCGCAAGAAATAGCAGGATATTCAGAAGAAGGACCACTGCACAATCACTTTCGGAAAACTCTATAGATAAAGTTGATATCATTGTTAATAGGCAAATAATAAGACATGTAAATTTTTGAAAATAAATAAAATAAAAGGCCTTGATCATATACAACAAATGCATTTTATTTATCTGGTAGAGGGTGGGTCAAGGAGCTTATATACTAACTGGAATGCTTCCGTGGCCCTCAAATCGATCCAAGAAAGAGCATAGCTGAATTGGTGGAATCTGTCTCGTTCTAGGAGTGGAATGTCCAAGCAGTTGCAAGCGAGGGCAGATTCCACTTTCATCGTTGTCGCGCTAGGAGTATTTTTCCCCCTTAATAAAGGTACAAAAAAATGAACTTTATATATAGCTAGTTACAGTACATTTTTTGAATTCCCATATTGTTTTGTAAGACTAAGCATTCCACTTTTAATGAAAAGTTTTGGAACAAGTACTTGGATTATATAATATTGATAGACAGTAAACTCTATCTATGCCTGCGCTGTCAAGTGTGGAACATAATTAGTCTAGTCTATGGGTACGGCCAGAGTGCACTCAGATTCAGCTTCAGATTCAGATTCCGAAAACAAGCGCGAGAAATAAACAGTGTAGTCGAAGGGTACGGCCAGATTGCACTCCTGATTTAGATTCAGATTCAGACTCAGAAAACAAAGCGCGAGAAAAAGCAGGCAACCTGCTTAGACTACACTGTTTATTTCTCGCGCTTGTTTTCAGAATCTGAATCCGACTCTGAATCTGAGGGTGCGGCCAGAGTGCACTCAGATTCAGATTCAGATTTCGAAAACAAGCGCGAGAAATAAACAGTGTAGTCGAAGGGTACGGCCAGATTGCACTCCTGATTTAGATTCAGATTCAGACTCAGAAAACAAAGCGCGAGAAAAAGCAGGCAACCTGCTTAGACTACACTGTTTATTTCTCGCGCTTGTTTTCGAAATCTGAATCTGAATCTGAATCTGAGTGCACTCTGGCCGCACCCTGAGTGCACTCTGGCCGCACCCATAGGGTGCATTTTCTAAACCTAAACTTAAAATTAGAGTTTAGAGAAAGTTTAGAGATTAGAGAAAATTAGGGTTACATTCTCTAAACCTAAACTTAAAATTAGAGTGCTAATTTTAGTTTAGGTTTAGTAAATTGGTATTCTGAAATTGCGAACTAACTAAACTAAGATCACAGTTGACAGCTGCAAACGAGCATGTAAATTGAATTCACAGATAAGGTAAAAGCATTGAACCGGTAATTATCGGTTTACTCAAAATGGCAATAAATACTTATTATTCAGTGATTTCGACTTATTTCAGTAATTCTTTGTTGTTCTTCATCATCTTTGAAATGTGGAAACTTAACATAAGCTTGTTATTTCACTGTATGAGAAATTATGAATCAGTAAAGAGTGAATACTTGCCTACTCTGTGGTACTTAGGGTTTCTAGATTGGGAGTATTTATCCTTATTTTGGGGAAAAATATGAACTTGGGGAAATTAAATCTGCGGGGAGAACTTTGGATTCATATTTTTTCTTAGAGCATGCTCTAAGTATTTTTTTTGGCAAATGGTTGGGGAAAGCCACCACTTCTAAAATAAAATGCAAATATAGGTACCAACTAGATTTTGGTACCTAACAAATCTATTAAGGATGATCAGTCACGCTAGACTGCGTCGAGTCCCAGCCGAGCTTCAGCCGTAGCACGGTCATCGAGCCGGTAACGTACCTGCAATTTACAAAGACGTGCCTCGACTGAGCATTTAGGTAGGTACCGTTGTGCCGTGATGCAGTCTACTCATACAGATAAAGTAAATAGGGTTTAAGTACTCGTCCGAGCAAAATCGTTTTTTTTGTCTGAAGTAATAATACGATTGCCCGGCAATCGTAGGGATACTTCAGACACCGCGCCGGCGCTGTGTTTATGCAACGGGCCGTGGCGGGGCCGAGGCGAGACCAAGTTTTTTTCTGAGCGTTGTTCGTTTGTTGCTCGGTTGTCTGTCGGTTACCGCCCGGAATAGCATAAATGTGTCCATAATCCATGTAAAATATATTATTTTATATTAGTTAACTCTGCTACGGCCGACACGGTCTAACGTGAATCATCTTTGAAAATGTCTCGCATCGTAAATTCGCAATCCAGCGCATCTATCTAATACCTACGGTTATAAATTGCGGTTGCGATAAGTGGTTGTTATTATCCCCTCGGCTGTTTTGTGAAGATTTTGTTATCATTTATTGTATAACGTGAGATGCGTAACCTATTTTTATCTTTATTGTTTCAATCAGATTTTAGCGAGATGGTCCCAAATCCCAATAATTCATTTGGTGAAGATGACAAGTACTTTCGCATATATAAAAACAAACTTCTCAATGACAAACAGCAGAAACTTAGTTCGTATTTAGTTATTTTAAGAAATATGATTAGCTATTAAAAAGTGGTAAATAAAAACATTTCTAACAAATATCAAAAACAGCTTCATAAAAACAAAACCACTAAAAAGAAATCAATAAATTATACATTAAAGTCTAAAATAGCTACATTTAAAGTCAAAATAACATTTGGATTGGAATTGGTGATTGGAATGCATATCACCGACATCATTAAGTAGATTTAGAAAAACAAAAACACGTAATTAAAACAACCAAACTATAGAAAAGAAGTTCTCGAGGCAAACAGTTCAGTAAATGAACCTTTCCACTTATTATTATCAACGTCATATTTGATTATTAATTTATAACTTTTTTTAACCAACCAAACCCATATCAAACCCTAACAATAAGTTTAAAACTTATCTGTAGCAATCATTTACCTAATTATTGGCCCTAATTATTCACATTTAAATTTAGAGAGGACCTCCATAGGTCCTTCTTACATTTAGTGTGACATTTCTAATTTTAGAGAAAATATGACATTTAGAACGCGTTTCAGAATACCAAATAATCAACTAAATCTAAGTTGAGTAACTTAGCAACGTCAATTTTTGATTTAGAGATAGAGTGTCATTGCAGAATACCAAATTGAATTTGACAAGTCTATATCTAATTTTAGTTAGTTTTAGATATAAGTTGGCACGCCAGAATTGGGCCCAATGTTTATTTCTCGCGCTTGTTTTCGGAATCTGAATCTGAATCTGAATCTGAGTGCACTCTGGCCGCACCCAAAACAAGCTCGAGAAATAAAACAGTGTAGTCGAAGGGTACGGCCAGAGTGCACTCAGATTCAGATTCTGAAAACAAGCGCGAGAAATAAACAGTGGTTTCGATTCTGGCATGATTCTCTAAAGCTAAACTTAAATTTGACAGCAGTGTATCCTTGTCATTCTCTATACAGAATGAAAAGGACAGACTGATGTTAAATTTAGTTGTAAGTTTAGAGAATCCTGCCAGAATCGACACCACTGTAGTCTAAGCAGGTTGCCTGCTTTTTCTCGCGCTTGTTTTCTAAGTCTGAATCTGAATCTCAATCAGGAGTGCACTCTGGCCATAGGGTGCGGCCAGAGTGCACTCAGATTCAGAGTCAGATTCAGATTCTGAAAACAAGCGCGAGAAATAAACAGTGTAGTCGAAGGGTACGGCCAGATTGCACTCCTGATTCAAATTCAGATTCAGACTCAGAAAACAAAGCGCGAGAAAAAGCAAGCAACCTGCTTAGACTACACTGTTTATTTCTCGCGCTTGTTTTCGAAATCTGAATCTGAGTCTGAATCTGAGTGCACTCTGGCCGCACCCGTACCCTTCGACTACACTGTTTATTTCTCGCGCTTATTTTCGAAATCTGAATCTGAATCTGAGTGCACTCTGGCCGTACCCTACGATTTAATATTTTAAAAGTAAAACTCTCACTGTCAGCCATCAGCTAGTGTTGTAACCAGTGTTGCCAACTCGGATTTTGAAAAAGGCGTAGGCCCGATGAGAAAATTACGTGGAATTGGTAAATTTTGCATATGAAAAGTACGTAGATCTACGTACTTTTTTCTGAGTGAAATGAAGAAGTTAGGTGAAACCGAATAAAACGAGTATTTTGTTATACAATTTCTTTAAAAACGAGAGATAGAACAAAGAGTTCTTGGAGAAGTCGCTGCATTGGAAGAATTTACCATGCTGTGGTAGACATTTAGCATCAGACACAGACACTGGTGGGTGTCGATTATGGCATGATTCTCTAAATTTAAAACTAAATTTAAAATCAGTCTATCTTTTTCATTCTGTATAGAGAATACACTGTTGTTAAATAGGCTAGTTGACACTTTTTGGAATTATGTTTTAAATTGTTAATAATTGTTCTATCAGACCGAAAAAAAATTTTTTTCTTACCTAGAAGACATACAAAAACGCTATTTAGTCTATAGACTTATCTATGCTATGACGTCAAAACATTTGTAAACAAACACTCACAATCACGTAGGAAATAAACTTTCTGAGTTAATATTATAAAACCATGATTTCTAATAGATCACATGAAAAATATAGTAGTTATCATGATACACTTGGTAAAAGACTACAAAAGTTGTGTTTTAAATTGCCTAGAGAAATAAACATACTTACATATGAACGCATGTTTAAAACTTGCTAAATCCTGTAACTTTATCGACAGAAAGTCATTTCTTTTTGCAAAGATCAATTCGATGTAAGTACTCATTGAATAATGTTTAAAGTTTAAAAATACAATTTTTAAGGTTATGAATATACCTACTAAGGCAAAGAGTTTTGTCATTTCTGCTTTCACAAATCCTGCGTCCAGCATTAATTTAATCAACAAAACCAATAACGGAAACAAGAATTTTTAGATACATATTTATAGGAAATAAACATTTGTAAAGTTTTTAAGTAAAGTAACGGAAAATATTCTTCTTTATTCTAGAGAATCGTTATTTTATAAAATTTGTAAAAATTAAAGAAAATACGTAGATTATGGGACTGAAGTTAGTAGGTTTGCAGAAAAGGCCTAAAATACGTAGATCTACGTAAAAAGACGTAGAGTTGGCAACACTGGTTGCAACTGCGATCATGAATTATGAATTTCATAACATACAAATGTTGGGTAATGTGGTGAATAATTATATTATAATTATATAAGTTCTAATAATATTAATAAATGAATTTAATTAATCCTTTCAA